AGATATAGACCAATGGAACAGAACAGAGGTCTCGGAGGCAATCTACAACCATCTCATCTTTGACAAACCTCATAAAAACAAGCAATGGGGAAAGGATTCCCTGTTGAATAAATGGTGTTGGGAAAACTGGCTAGCCACGTGCAGAAAGCAGAAACTGGACCCCTTCCCGACACCTTACACTAAAATTAACTCTAGATGGATTAAAGACTTAAACATAAGACCTAACACTATAAAAACCCTAGAAGGCTGGGCGCGGTGGCTCATGCCTGTAATCCCAGCATTTGAAAGGCCGAGGTGGGCGGATCACGAGGTCAAGAGATTGAGACCATCCTGGTCAACATGGTGAAATCCCGTCTCTACTAAAAATACAAAAAATTAGCTGGGCATGGTAGCGTGTGCCTGTAATCCCAGCTACTCAGGAGGCTGAGGCAGGAGAATTGCCTGAACCCAGGAGGCAGAGGTTGCGGTGAGCCGAGATTGCGCCATTGCACTCCAGCTTGGGTAACAAGAGCGAAACTCTGTCTAAAAAAAAAAAAACCCTATTAGAAAATCTAGGCAAAACCATTCAGGACATAGGCATAGGTAAGGACTTCATGACTAAAACACCAAAAGCATAAGCAACAAAAGCCAAAATAGACAAATAGGATCTAATTAAACTCCAGAGCTTCTGCACAGCAAAAGAAACAATCACTAGAGTGAACTGGCAACCAACAGATTGAGAAAAATTTTTGGTAATCTACCCCATCTGACAAAGGGCTGATATCCAGAATCTACAAAGAACTAAAACAGATTTACAAGAAAAAAACAAGCCCATTCAAAAGTGGGCAAAGGATATGAACAAACACTTGACAAAAGAAGACATACATGAGGCCAACAAACATATGAAAAAATGCTCATCATCACTGGTCATTAGAGAAATGCAAATCAAAACTACATTGAGATACCATCTCACACCAGTTAGAATGGCGATCATTAAAAAATCTGGAGACAACAGATGCTGGACAGGATGTGGAGAAAGAGGAACACTTTTATACTGTTGGTGGGAGTGAAAATTAATTCAACAATTGTGGAAGAAACAGTGTGGCAATTCCTCAAGGACCTTGAAATAGAAATTTCATTTGATCCAGCAATCCCATTACTGGGTATACATCCAAAGGATTATTAATCGTTCTACTTTAAGGACACATGCACACAAATGTTCACTGCAGCACTGTTTACAATATCAAAGACTTGGAATCAACCCAAATACCCATCGATGATAGACTGGCTAGGGAAAATGTGGTACATATACACCATAGAATACTATGCAGCTACAAAAAACAATGATTTGTGTCCTTCGAAGGGACTTGGATGAACCTGGAAACCATCATTCTCGGCAAACTGACACAAGAAAAGAAAATCAAACACCGCATGTTCTCACTCATAGGCGGGTGTTGAACAATGAGAACACATGGACAGAGGGAGGGGAGCATCACACACTGGGGTCTGTGGCGGGGGGAACTAGGGGAGGGACAGCGGGGGCTGGGGATTTGGGGAGGGATAACATGGGGAGAAATACCAGATATAGGTGGTGAGGAGGAAGGCAGTAAACCACATTGCCATGTATATACCTATGCAACAATCTTGCATGCTCTTTACATGTACCTCAAAATCTAAAACACAATAAAATATATATATATAAAAAGAAAAGAAATTAAAATATTTTACTTCATACTCTTTGGAATCCCATTTTGTACTACTTGCTTCTGCATTAACTGCCTATTTACTTGCATTAATCTCTGGATCATAAACTCGGTAAAGGTCAGGTCAGTTTTCTAACACCTAGTACCATATCTGACACATTGGTATACAGGGTATAAATGATTAATGGCTGAATCAAAAAATTAATCAATCAATGTATTGCCAATAGTGAACATCAAAGTCACCAGTAGTCTATGAAATGGGTAATTTAATCTGCCTGTTTGCAATCTTCTGGAGTCTTTCCATCTTCTAAGGAGCCTTTCCACATTTTAGAAGGGGTTAGATGGGTTTAGAATGATGTGTAAGACTTCTGAGCCTCCATTATGTAATTCAGCGAAGTTTACAACCTTAAATTTACTCAAAGATCTCAAAGCCTCTCTTATTTTTCCTGTACTTGAGTTTCCTTTTACCAGTATTTCTCCAGATGCTTTTTATTCTGTAGAAATCCCATTTATAATATTTAATTAATTAAAATCATGAAAGTTATTTTCATTAGACTTACAAAATAAGCTATTAATTTAAAAATTCGAAAGCAAAGTATGTTTTCTGAATTAATAGACACAAAGTCTTTAAATATTAGTATTTGGGAAAACAAAGGAAATTTGGTATAAGAAAAAAAAAAAAACTATCAACTAAATCCCTGGTAAATGTTGACCAGAAAGAATTAAATGATAATAGTAATAATCACAATCACAAAAGTAACCGACTCTGGTGTCTTATCTCATATTTAAATACTCTCAACTGTAAAATCCATTATAACCTGTGAAATTACAATTGTTTTCACAGAAAGTGACCATTAATAGCACTTGTGACCAATTCTTAATTGAGACAGAATTTTAAAGACATGCCTCTGATTCATAGTATGTAGGAAAAAAATCTGACACACAAAACTGGGATTTTATTATAAGCATTTTTTCTCGTTCACAAACACCAGCTATTCTCAAATAGTTTATTTAACATGTCAACATTGTCTAGTAAGTATCAACATTTTTATTGCCCAGAGGTTGTAAAGGGTTTGTTTGATATTAGCTTGCATTTGCCCTCACAATTCCAAAGCCTTTTTTCAAAAAAAGCTAATCATCACAGAGAAATATTAGAAAGGAGCACACAATCCAGAGGTGAATATGAGGTCACATTCATGATTTTCTGAAACAACAGCAAAAGCAAAAGGAAAAAAGATAACCAAAAAAAAGTTTTTAAATGCTCTTTTAACAGAGACAAAAGCAGTTTACTTCCAAAAGCATGTTGTTTACTATTCTGCCTATTTGGAATATTGTATCCCCAAATTTGGCTCATAAATCATGTCACAAACAGCTTTATAATTTAAAGATATAGCCCAGTTAATTCTGAAGCACAAATGTGTAAAGTTTCCTCACTTCCCTGACTTCAAGAGAGAATATTTTTTCACGTTGTATATGAAAAGAAATCCTGAAGAATTTTTCATGAACCATAGAACTATGTCTTACTTACATTTCCACACTAAGCGAGCTGGTAAGATCAATAACAAAGGAAAACATTCTTGAAACAACCAAACAAATAGGAGTTTGATAGGATCACAGTGGGATGATCTGCTTAGTCCTTTGATGGATTCTGGATAAAAGAATAAACATTGGGGTTATGGGTTACTAGAGTTCTCTATTTTACATCTTTATTTTTCTAACTTTTCACAATTTGTCTGTATTACATTTGCCATTGTAAAGAAAATTAAATATTTTGCTATAGCTGTTGAGAGTGGAATGGCACATCTAAGCTGGGGTACACATGAATAAAGGTAGATTGAAAAGAGTTGGGCTAAATTGCATTAAAGATTGTTTTAAACAATGAGTCAAAGAGACTGGGAAAAAGAAAAAGTCATTTGATCAGAAAATAACAGAATTATTCATGAAAAACCTAACTCTTTGCTTTTTCAAAAGCAAATTGCTGGTAGAGAGAATTGATTACTTCTATTTATGGCAAAGGGCAAAGAGTGGAGTTTTTCATGAATAATTCTGGGGTCATTTTTATCTAACATCTTATAAATGATCCAAAGCAGAAGTGCAGAGTAAAATCTCACAGTTCAGAGGCACGCAACTCTTCCAGACAGTGAAGTGACAAGTGAATGAAGATAAGCAATAGTAAATTTTTCAGAATCTGCAATGGGCAGTATAACATATAGAGAGCCCTTTAGAGGTAGAGACAATGTAACTTCATTCAATTCTCTCTCTCGAGCTCCAATCACATGATATGGACTCCAATATTTTTCCACAGATAAAAGAAGGAAAGTTTGTAAAATGGAAAACTAAAAAGTTAAGTCAAGGACACCAATCTGTGATACTAAAGAATTATAATTATAAGCTTAAGAACAGTCCGCTGTTATTTACATCTCTGCAAAAGACAAGAAAATGGATGGAGAAAGTGAGCTCAATATGACCCTGGGACTAAGACCACAAAGTCTTATGCAGTTCAACACAGCGAACATTGAGCATACGAGGAGACCCTGCTATAGATAGACTTGAAGTGAATGACAGCAAAGGGGCCTGGATTAAATAATTACACTCCCCAACTGAACATAATTGAGGTCTTTACAACTCTCTAATTTTAGTCAGCTATTTGCACTTGGCTTATACTCTGATAAATATTCACCCTTGTAGTAAAGCAACTTCATGAAAGACAATGGCCAAACAGAGAAGAACAAAAGATTATTTTTGGAAAAATTCCGAATTTTCATCCTGAAACTTTTTTTTCAGCTTTATTTCATAGATTGCATTTTCATGGCCACATTTGACATGTTTCTCTGTCCCTTTGTTTTCTGCAAATTGATAGTTTTACAGGTTCCAGCAGATTAGATTCAACTTTAGCAAAAATATTATTTGAGGATATGTTTCTTTTAAGAAGTCTCTCAAATGTCTTCCAGAGGCCAATATGATGTGAAAAAAGGAGTTCACTTAAATAATATCATTTTAGCGGTGTATTTCAGAACAAATGTAACTCATAAATAAAAGATTTATTTACTCATTTTACTCCAAATAGCTGTACAGACAATTCCAAAAATAGTTGCAAAGACTTTTTTTGAAAGCACTGTCATTGAAATAAATGTAAGACACTCTCAAGGTGACAATTTTTTTGTGAGGTATGAAATTCCCTGTATGTTTGGAAAGTTAATCCTTGTTGCTGTGGCTTTACTATTTTGTTTTATGATCCTGATTCTCAAGAGTTTAAAGCCTAGTTAGGGATCCACAACAGACATAATAAAATGATTAAAGAATACAAGCAAATGCATTACAAGGTACTTAATAAAATGTCCTTGGAAGTAGGTGGCAATGCCTTAATTCTCTCACATGTTGTCAGGCCCAAGTGCCTCTTCCATCTTTGTCAACAGTTGAGTGCTTTCTCTCCTTTTATACAACACAGTAAAATGTCCTTTAGAAGACATAATTCTCAACAAAAAAAAAGAGAGTATTTCTTATATTTAGGGAATATCCAATACTATTAAAATCTTGATAACTAAGCCAAATTCGAAAACCTATAGTTATTGGCAGGAAGAGATGCTTAAGGATAGTCATTTGATGACTCTTGAAAGAAACAGAATCGCAAGGGAAAAAAAGGAATTATTAAAATTATTTACATTTCCAAAATTCAATGACTATACAAATGTTTAGACAACTTACACCTGTGCTTGATTTTAGAATCTTATTTCACACATCAAACAGATGTAATACTGTCTTATTGAATGCAGCAAAGTTAAACATAAATAATATTGACTGTATTCACTATAAATAAATAGACAGTGATTTTAATAACTGCTATAAAAATAGCTTAGGAAGCAGTGGGTTAGAAAAAAATTCTAAGTTAATACAATATCAGAATAACATTAAAAGAATCTTTTAGAGTGTGAGGAAATGTGTTTACAAGAGGTTATCAGTGGTTAAGCTAATCAAGAAAGAAACTCAACAGAACTTTTAGTCCAAGAGCATTCCTTTATCAAGATTTTTTATTTAGGAGTTCTCCAGTCATTCTGAGAATTAAAATATATATCCTCATGAGATTTACTTAACAATGGAATACAAAATAAACCATACGATAAAATATCCTTTAATTCTCTGATGGTATTCAGTGTGGGGCAATGTGATGCAGCAACGAGTAGAATATAACCTAGAAATTGCCTCATCAAAGTTTTGTGTAGGCAAAATATAAAACATCTTTTTGCCACCCATGTCCGGCCTCATGATAGAACCTATGAAATACTCCTGAACTGTGTCCACATAAATATTGCCTTTAATTGTACTCTGGGCCTATAACAGATCAGGATATCTATCAAGTAATCATGATGTAAAAAGAAAGTATGAGTACATATTTATGTGTTTATGATTTTTTATTTATTTTGGATGAGACTGTGACTATGTTTTGTGTCCACTGAAAATTTACCTACCCTTTTCTCCCTGCCTTTTTATATAGTTAAAAGATAGCAGCAGTTTAATTTATCCTCCTGACATTTGCTCAGACATATTTCTAATGATTTAGGCAATGCATTCTAGCTAATGCATCTTACTTGACCTATCAGGAGTATTTGACACTCTTAATCACTTCTTATTCATTGAAACTCTTCTGTCTTGGCTTCCAGGACCCCACAGTTATCATTTCCCCTCCACATCACTGAATGCTCCTTTGTCCTTTTCTAGCTATTTTTTATCCCTTTGACCTCCAGCCATCATAGTGCCCCAAGGATGAGTCCATTGATCTTTGCTTTACCTACACTCCCTCTCTTGGTGATCTTACGCAGTCTAAAAATTTAAATACTAACTATGCCAAACACTCCCAAATTTAGACGTCCAGCCTATTTTTCTCTCAAACCGCAATCTTATATTCCCAACTCCCTCTTTAGGACCTTCACTTTAATATCAAATAGAGAACTCAAATGCAACATGTCCCAAAGTATAGTTCTGTATCTGAGTCCCAATCTACATTCTACAATCTTCTTCATCTGCTAAGTGTGATGTAAATCTTTCTGGTTGCTGAGACCAGCCCACTAGAATCAGCGATGGCTCTTCTTTTCCTCTCAAGTCTCAAATTCAATCTCAGCAAATCCTGTTGATTCTATGTTCAAAATATGTCCAGAACTGGCTTTTTATTCACTTCCCAGGTGCTGATACAAGTTCCAAATCATCATTATCTCTCACCAGGATTAAATCTGTAGCCTTGTAACTGGTTTCCCTGCTCCAATCTTGGCCACAGCCCTTCTACCCCTTACCAGTCTGCTCTCAACCCAGAAGCCAGAGAGATTCTTTTAAGCCTAAGTCATGGCATGAAACTCTTCCTAAATTTCTCTCATCTTTCCTAGATTAAAATCACTCCAGGATGAAAGAAAGAGACAGAGTTAGAGAGGAAGTGGAGCTGGGCGCCTATCATGAGGGCTCTGAAGGCCTTCTTAAGAGCTTTGGATTCTTCTGTGGGAGAGAGGGGAGATTTTGCAATGTTTTTACCAGACTATTTTATGTCAGATGGTGATAATAGCTCCAAGAAAAATAAAGCAGAGAGGTGGGGAAGGAGAGACTGGTATGAGAGGTGATGCCAAAAACTGCAATTATTTTTGCACCAACCTAATAATATTAAACAGAGTGGGCCAGGAGAAACCTAAAACCCAGAAGGGAGTAAGTTGTATGAATATCTGGAGGTATGTTATTCTAAGAAGAAGAAACAGTAAATGTAAAGGAAGGCCCTAATTCGGGAGTATACCTTACTTATTCAAAGAAATTTTACTTCACATGATATGCATTTAATAACAACATATTGAATAAATGATTAGATAATTCTTAATTTAGATGTAATTACTTATATTGACCCAAACTTTAAAATTATTTTCAATGGCCCAATTTCATAATTAATACAGTCCCAATAAATGTCAGAATCTACTGGCTTTTGTTTTTCACATGTCATTAGCTAAACAGAACAGAAAATGTTATGAGGACACATTTTTAAAATCCTTTTCTGACAACTCCAGTCCTCCCAGTCTGAAGAAGGTATCCCTTCCCTGTGCTATTATGCTTTATTATGGTATGTTAACCCTCATTATACTTGATGTACTTGTGTCTAACCCCACTACTGAGATTTTAGGAGTTAATAAATAAATTATTCCTTGTCTAAGAAAGGTAGACACAGGAATTGAACACACAGAGATTTCAAGGTGTTAGTTGTATTATTGAGTTACTAAAAGAAGAAGAAGTTTGGAATACAGATGTATGACCAAATAATCATAATACTCATTACTGAGTTAGATATCTAATACTCATTTTACTAGATATCATAGTTGGACTAATATTAGCCTTGTCTGATCCGTGGAAAATTCTCCTTTTACTGCCTAACAGAAAGCTGATATGAGTATTTGCTTCCTGCTGGCAGAAAGATTCTAGATCTGAGTATTTCCACAGGGGTGAAGCCATGTATGCCTGGTACTCAATCCTAAATTCTCCATCAGATAAAACATTTAACCTGCTCTGTGGAGGATTGGTAAAAAAAAAAAAAAAAAAAAAAACAGAGAAAACCCGAGATTGATTATTTTCCTCAGCAGAATTGAGCCATGAAGTCTCAACACTCACGGATGCCTGTCTGTCATATTCTCCATTTAATTCTCAGTGCTTACGAAAGTGCCTGGTATACAAAAAGTGAAAAATAAATACTAGATTAAATAAGTAGTTAAAGATTATGGCAAAAGTCTAGTATTACCCTTGCCTGACTCCCCAAAATCTAAGCCAGACAAAATTTTCCAGAGGAGGCAAACTAGATGGAATATAAGCTTAAGCTTCTTGCTTAGTTTCCATAGCATCCTACCAATACTGCCAAAACTCACTTTTATGTCTAGTTTATACTTAATCACCAAGATAGTAGTTCTCATTCCTCTAGAACAGGCGTCCCCAAACTACGGCCCACGGGCCGCATGCGGCCCCCTGAGGCCATTTATCCGGCCCCGCCGCACCTCAGGAAGGGGCACCTCTTTCATTGGTGGTCAGTGAGAGGAGCACAGTATGTGGTGGCCCTCCAACGGTCTGAGGGACAGTGAACTGGCCCCCTGTGTAAAAAGTTTGGGGACGCCTGCTCTAGAAAAACTACGCATTGAGAACAGTATTAAGAATGACTCTCTTGTTTTGGATAAATAGGAGCCAAGTACTGGCCAGAGGTACGGAATGGGTGATCAGAGTATTGAGGTTATAGAACAACATTCCCCGTGGGAATGTTGAACTCTGTGGCTCTCCCCCATGTACACATTCTCAGATTTTTATGCCTTTTTTTCAGTTAATCTCCTTTTGTGAGCTGATTTTTTAATAAATCTCAGAGGGCAAAAGAAGAAAAAATGTTTTGTGTCCCCTTTTACACCACACCTATTGTAGTGACTACACTACTTAGCCCAGCTGATATAAAAACATCAGAAATGTTTATGGAGGAAAGACAGGAAAAGGAAAGAATATAGAGAGATAAGCCATGATCAAAAGAGAAGAGAATGTTCAGGATGGACAATTATTTTCAAGTTCCTAGGTCTCTGAAGTAAAAGAGTACTCGATTTGGGAAAGCATTTAGATTTTATTTAGACTATAATATAAACAGAGAGTGATGTCTTCTCATTTATGTTTTAAGAAGCTTACTCTTGCAGCTGGGTAAATTGTATATATAAAGGAGTATATATATATATATATATATATATATATATATATATATAAATTGTATATATAAAATGGACATAGGAAGAAAGAGTAGGAGAGTATTATCACAGTGTACAGGATAGATGTTTGGAATAGGGTGGTAGCCCTGCAAATAAGTGAAGAGTTATATTTTGGAAACAGATCTATAAGATTTGCTGGACTAGTGGTGAAGGAAAACAATGATAAAAGAATGATACCAATACAAGTAGCCTGAGCAAATAGGTAAGTAGTGGTGCCATCTACTTAGATTGAGAAAATTTTATCTAAAAAGGGAGGTGGCCTTATGAATTTTTAACATTTTACAACTGTTCTCTTTAGTTTATATCATTAGACTTTTCACCATTCAATTTTTATGACCTTGTTTTGTATAAAGGTAGATGAAGATCTATACTTCAAGATGATTTGCTGTATCACACTTCACAATTGGGTGCTGAATTTTAATATTACAAGCAGCAAGTTTTTTAAACATGAGATTTCTGACATAAAAATATAAGAGTGCTCTGGAAAATAGGTAATTTCATTAAGCACTGGGATACAAAGTTTAAAGATAAATATGCTAAATAAGATGCCTAAGAGTTTTAAAATGCTACATAAACAATCAGTGGCCAGCTCTGATTCCATTTTCCTAATTTCTCCAGAATCCTTACAAAAAACACTCTGAGGAAAAAAGGAATCACTTTTCAGCTGGTTCCTTGATGTCTTGTCTGTCATAAATTAC